CAAAATGGTTGTATCATTTTGCATTCCCACCAGCAGTGCATAAGAGTTCCGATCTCCCTGCAGTCCCTCCAACATTTGTTATTTCCAGTGTTTTTGAGTCATCGGATTTCTTGACAGCTGCTTCTGTGGGTGTTGATTGTGGATCCAAGTAAAATGAAATCTTTGACATCTTCAATCTTTTCTCCATTTATCATGATTTGCTTATTGTTCCAGTTGTGAGGATTTTTGTTTTCTTTATGTTGAGTTGTAATCTCTTCTGAAGGCTGTGGTCTTTGATCGTCATCAATAAGTTCTTCAAGTCCTCTTCACTTTCAGCAAGCAAGGTTGTGTCATCTGCATATCACAGGTTGTTAATGAGTCTTCCTCCGATTCTGATGCCCCGTTCTTTATATTTTCCAGCTTCTCGGATTATTTGCTCAGCATACAGATTGAATATGGTGAGGGGATACAACCCTGACACACACCTTTCCTGGCTTTAAACCATTCAGTATCCCCTTATTCTGTTCGAACAGCTGCCTCTCGGTCTAAGTACAGGTTGCTCATGAGCACAATAAAGTATTCTGGAATTCCCATTCTTTGCAGTGTTATCTATAATTTATTATGATCCACACAGTTGAATGCCTTTGCATAGTCAGTAAAACACAAGTAAACATTTTTCTGGTATTCTCTGCTTTCAGCCATGATCCATCTGACATCAGCAATGATATCCCTTGTTCCACGTCCTCTTCTGAATCTGGCTTGAACTTCTGGCAGTTCCTGGTCGATGTACTGTTGTAACCGCTTTTGAACGATCTTTAGCAAAATTTTACTTGCGTGTGATATTTAATAATTTCCGCATTCTGTTGGATCTCCTTTCTTTGGAATGGGTACAAATATGGATCTCTTCCAGTCTGTTGGCCAGGTAGCTGTCTTCCAAATTTCTTGGCATAGATGAGCGAGCACTTCCAATGCTGCATCCGTTTGTTGAAACATCCCAATTGGTATTCCATAAATTTCTGGAGGCCTGTTTTGCACCAGTGCCTTCAGTGCAGTTTGGACCTCTTCTTTCAGTACCATCAGTTCTTGATCATATGCTACCTCCTGAAATGGTTAAACATTGACCAATTCTTTTTGGTACCGACTGTATTCTTTCCATGCTTTCTGCATGGTTTAATGTTTTCCCCATAGAATCATTCAATACTGCAACTTGAGACTTGAATTTTTTCTTCAATTCTGTCAGCTTGAGAAATGCAGAGCGTGTTCTTCCCTTTTGGTTTTCTGTCTCCAGGTCTTTGCACATTTCATTATTTCTCAAGCTGCCCTTTGAAGTCTTCTGTTTAGCTCTTTTACATCATCATCTCTTCCTTTTGCTTTAGCTACCTGACCTTCAAGAGCAACTTTCAGAGTCTCTTCTGACATTCATTTTGGTCTTTTCTTTCTTTCTTGTCTGTTTAATGACCTCTTGTTTTCTTCATGTATGATGTCCTTGCACAACTCATCTGGTCTTCAGTCATTAGTGTTCAGTGCGTCAAATCTGTTTTTGAGATGGTCTTTAAATTCAGATGGGATATGGTCAAGATCGTACTTTGGGTCCCATGGACTTGCTATAATTTTCTTCAACTTCAGCTTCAACTTGCATATGAGCAATTTATGGTATGTTCCACAGTCAGCCCCTTGCCTTGTTCTGATGATATTGAGCCTCTCCATCGTCTCTTTCCACAGACGTAGTTAATTTGATTCTTGTGTATTCCCTCTGGCGAGCTTCACGTGTAGAAAACCAAAACCAAGCCTGTTGCTGTCAAGTCGACTCCAACTCATAGGAACCCTATAGGACAGAGTAGAACTGCCCCATAGAGTTTCCAAGGAGCACCTTGTAGATTCGAACTGCCGACCTTTTCGTTAGCAGCCGTAGCTCTTAACAACTATGTCATTCCGGTCTCCTCCACATGTATAGTTGCCATTTATGTTGTTGAAAAATGGTATTTGCAATGAAGAAGTCTGGTCTTGACACATTCTATCACGTGATCTCCAGTGTCATTTCTGTTACCAAGGCCGTATTTTCCAACTACCAATTCTTCGTTTCCAGCTTTAGCATTCCAGTCACCAGTAATTATCAGTACATCCTGATTGCATGTTTGATCAATTTCAGCTTGCAGAAATTGGTAAAAATCTTCAGTTTCTTCATCCTTGGCCCTAGTGGTTGGTGCGTAAATTTGAGTAGTAGTCGTATTAACTGGTCGTCTTTGTAGGCGTATGGCTATCATCCTATCACTGACAGTGTTGTACTTCAGGATAGATCTTGA